TCATCTGGGGTGCAGGCGCCGGGGTTGCACTGACCACTGTGTGTATGGACACCAGTCGGCCATTGCCTGCGCCAGAACGCGTTGTGGTTGGCGGGTATTACCTGAACTAGGGCGGCGTCCGGACCGACATGCCGCATCCCACCGCGCCTGACCCAATCAGTCACAAGCCTACGACAACCTCCTCGCGATAGCTGCGCCGCTGGACACTCGAATGCAGACCACCCCTCTTCTCGATCCTGAACATGTCAATCCATCGAATTCCGAAAAGAAATCGGGCTTGGTTGCGGGCAGCACTGGGAATTGTGGCATCCTTTCTACGCCTGCACCAGCAAACTCCGCTACATGGCATGTATGCGAGCCGCGCATGTTGCTACCTCCTGCGTCATCACCGAGGCCTCTCGCAAATCGGCGCATCGTCAATCTGCTTCGGGGATGTAATTGTTCTGATGCAACTTGTGTGGCAATTTGAGAGCAGCGCTATTACGAGCGATTTACTGAAGTGTGCCGCGCGAGCCCGTGGTACCTGACGAGACATATACCCCTGACGACATGACATATCCCTGGAGTTCCGGTCCCCAAGGCTGCAAGGAAGGAATCAGCGAGTCAACATGGGATTTTGCCAACGGCTGGTGGCGAGGCTGGCTGCAGGCCAATGGTCGTCTCGATTGGCAACGCTACGTGTGGTTTCTCTACTTCTTGTACAATATTTTACGCTGTAATGATCGACATTGGAAATTGCAACACGTTCCGTGAAGTGGCAACAGCCCACCGTGTTTCCTTTCTCTGGAGTTCATGCGCTGAGTATTCCTCAAGGTGACCGACCTGTTTTCTTGGACACCAATCCCCCCCCCTCAGCAAGTGAGCGAAGACTGGCGCCCGGCGCCACTTTTGGGTCATCCTCATTTCCCGCAGTGTGACCTGGGAGGGTTCCACCGCTGCCATCACACGCGGGAACATGCACGATTTGCGAGGCGGAGTGCACGGGCGGGAAAATCGGCTGAGCGCCGAGGTGACCTCACGCTGCGACAAGCAGCCGACTCTGTTGCCTCTCTTTCGTTACCTTGTCGGTCTCTCCTCATCGTATGTTTCCGAAGCGGACCCGGTTTCTGGTATAGTGGTCGGGTTGTGACTGTAAAATGTCTCTCCTCGGTCGAAAGGCACTTTTCTGACCGTGCGACTGGACGGTTGACTTGAATCGAGCTCTCAATCCCGACGACCACTTACTTGCGACCTGAAGAAGAAGGTCGAGCAGGGGGAAGGGGGGGGGGGGGGGGGGCATGGGGTGGAAGTTTGCTGGCTGGCACGGAGGAAATTTGGAGTAGCTCTGGGGATTGGCGGGACTCTGGAACGCCTACGGGTTGCGGGGTAAAACGCTCTTGTAAGGCGGAGGGACATGGCTTCATTTTGAGGGGGGATGTTCAGGGTCGGAGCCATTCTGGGCCATAGCTTCCGCTGGCTAGGGTCTTTCGTCGGGATCTCTCACGCTCAGGGGGGGGGGGGGGGGGGTTACTCTTCTGAAGACCTAAATGCCGCTCATCAGAAATGGAGGTCCGTCATTTCAGACGAGGAGGAGCCGATTGATCCAATCTCATGCAATGTCAACCAATGTCAACCTTGAGGTGGTTTTGGAGCTGAAAGATGAAGGAAAGGGGACGGCCGGGCATCGAGGATTGGCGGTCTTCCGCTTGCCTTGCGGCACCGGGACGTATTGGCTGCCATCCATGCCCGTCAGCCTGACCTCCCCCTACCTAGAGGTACCTGACGCAGTGGTACGCGAACCGGGCTTGCGTTCGCCCGGCACTTGCGGCGATGTTTGGTCAGGCAGACATACCAAACACAGCTACAACCTGGAAGGCATACTGGGAGAAGCAGAAGCGAAATGCAATCCAACTTCGCGAATGCGGGCGGCTGCTTCGCTTGCCTCGATGAGCCCCCCTCATTCTCTGCATCGCCAATAATGGATCCTTTTTTTGGCCTTGGAGGGGGGGTTCAGTGGTCATCCTCGAAACGAAATGTGGAGGGGGTTCACTTTTGGTGTGATCCGAAGGAAGCGCCGCAATGGGGGGCCAAGTACAGTGCGATTCGGCGCAGTCCCATGAAAGGGGGGGGGGGGGGGTTGCTTGTGTGTGAGTGATCTCAAGGCTTCTCCCTGATGGGCTCAAGAAGACTGGCTGAGAAGGGAACAATGACGGGCGTGATGATGTGAGACGGGGAAGTCTCTTGTTGGAGAGCTTGCTGCCAGGCCACACCAGCGCAGCCTATTCAGCAACGACTCGATGCAGGTGACTGTACTAGATTGACTGTGAATAGTAAGCGACAGCAAGCATTTCTCACCAAATCAAACCTTATTCGTCTCCCAGGAATCCCAGGGCTGCGGTTTCGTGGCGAGTTCTCATGGCCGATTCGATCTTTACTGCGTCCGATGACGAGGGCCCGCGTGACGGGGCTGGCGATCATGGTGTAGCAAGACGCGTCAACAAGCATGCGGTATTGAAGCTTCATTAAAGCCCAGCGGGGGGTCATTTGGAACCACTCGATCGGAAGTCCCGAAATGTACAGTCCTGAACAGGTAGAGAGTGGGACGTGCTTCAGTGTCGCTTGCGGATGGAAGCCATTCAGGGTCTTCGCCAAAGGACCCCTGGCGAGGCAAGGAAGGATCAGCAACCGGGCAACTCCACGCAGCCTGACGGTGTGGCTTGTGGCTGATGACGATCTTTGGCGCCGTCCCTTAGTGAGAGTGAAGAATGGCTGAGGCTGGGGATCTTGGGATGCTTTGTTGGTAAGGACGTGTGTAGCTTCGGGTATTGGGTCGGACAACGGATGGAGGAGTACCGTCCCGCTCAATCCGGGGAGCAGGCTCCTAGTTGCTCGTTGTATCCTTTTAATGCCCGAATTCGGCCTCAGCACTTCGAACGATCGACATCCAAGTGGCAGAAAACATATGTCGACAATTAAATTGAAAGACATAGCGAACTGTACATCTAGATGCCTTTGCGTTGCCCATGTTCCACAGACATACCGTCCCTCAAACAAGTACTGATCTAGTACCTGCTTCCATATGGATCAAAGCTCTCTAGGTAGGCGGTGATCATTTTATGTACTGAGGCCAAATCTGGGCACTTATGGGATGACATGAATCGACTCCCACAGAGATCAGGGGATCACGGGAATCAGATGTCTGCTTTCTGGATACCGTTAATAGATCGGCGGTGGCTTCAATAGATGGGACTCTCGCCAGCGCCTCTGAGATTACGGTTGTGAGCGAGCTTCGATTTGTTCCGAGCAGGAAACTGTTAGAAAAGACAGAGTTTCAAGGTGGACTTTAAAACTACCCATAGTCGTTTCGCCGTATAGCTCCCGACCTCATCCCCGAGGGGTCAAGGTTCTCCTTGATGTAGTTTTTCTTCGGAATTAATGCATACCTATCCATCTTCGTCCATCAGATGGGCGGCTCAGTGCAACGTGGGATTGGGACATAGACAACTGCTTCTCATGTTGGTTCGCATGACACTATTGATCAAAAAGTCGAAATCCACAGTATCATATCTTGGTATCCAAATCATCAACGCCTCCAGGGCGGCAGACGGGAGAGATATCAGCCAGGCCAGTTTCATGGCCCACGTTGCTTCGAGCCTGAAGCATCCGGTTATTTTCTCTCGCGTAATAGCCACAATCATCATCGAATGGCTACGTTTCTTGTGGCTATCTACCTGGAATCTTGACGCACAGAGTCAGACTGTTAAACCTGGTGCAGTAGCCCGTGGCTCGAAGGAAGTGACAAACCGGCAAATCCCAGGGCCCCCACCACAGGCTGGAGGCTTCCATTGCCACAACGAACAATCAATCGCTTGATGGTCCGAAAACCTATTGATAGTTCCGTTCCCATCTCTCTTCGGAAATACCGACGACCCCTTTCAAGCTTCACCTTCACGTGGGTATGGCATCGGTGCATTCTCAATGGCTGTCAGGTGAGCAAGGCGTTCAGCCAGGTACCTACCTAACGACGGCAAGCACGGACACACCCCGCACTATATCTTGGTGGCAAGGGTGGTACCTTGTGGCTAGAGAAGTGAGCCCCACGTGAGCTTCCCCCCCCTCCAGAGCTGAGAATCACGACTCAGCCTCCTCGTTTTTGAGCAGTGCACGTAACCTGGAGCCTGGCTGCAGATGTCAAGCCCTCGAAGGCCCAAGTTCCAACCTCGCATTCAAGGCGAGCGGCGGCCTCTTGGGGGCGAAATACCTAAGACTCATTCCCGCCATCTCATTCATCCACCCACTTGCCTTGTCATACCCATGCTTGTTTCCAGCTGAACGCCTCTTCGGCTCTCATGATTCGCCAAGTTGCACGAAACGCCCCATCAGAGACACAATCCCGCGTGCTGAGGGCCAATAGGTTGGCCGAAGCCTCCTCGTTGGACAAGCTGGAGCAGCACCCTTCCCCTCTATCAGATCTCTATTGCACAGGGCCACTGGCCTCCGCACCTGTCACGCCTATCACGTCCTCCTCGTGATCCCACAAACGGACTCTGCCTCTCGCCGCCCGCACTCGGTCATCCAGGCGGGAGGAGACGAGAGAAGAAAACAGAGAGACGGGCAGAGACAAGACATACCGTCAGACAGTCGAGGGGAGAGTTACGAAGGACAACACAAATCGTAGGTGATCCCTAGGCCCCCTTGACTCCCAACTCCCAACTCCTATTTGGTGACTGATGCCCGATTGCTTGCACCTTTGGCTGCTTGCCTCGTCTCTCTTGCATGCTGCATGCTGCCATAGCATCTACTGACGATACAAATCCCAGGGCGTACGATATCGGCCTGTCACCCCGCCCTGTATTGCGTCCCAGTCATGCAGCTTGTCCTTGACGCCCAATCACCGAACCACATGCATTGCCGCCCGCCAGTCACGACTCTCCAGCTGTTCGATTCTCCTCAGAGTGCCGCATCTCTTGGACGACCAAGATTCGTTCGCCGTTTCTGCGCTCGAGGCATCTCGCATGCTAATGGCCTACTATCATTATGGCGAGGAGTCGGACAGAAGGCCTGGTCGAAGCCGACACGCGCACCCGACACCCCACGTCGATTGGCTCGAAACCGGCGAGACGGTGCATGATTCGCTGCCTCGCCGAACGAGGAGAGGCCATATCATACAATATGCAGATGAACCGCCTTCGTCCATGCGACGGAGTCAAACCACCTGGAGCGAGAGGAGCTCGCCTGCGCAAGTCGCGACGATGCCGCTTCGCACGAGAGCCGCCACCGTTACCACAATGACCATGCCTGTTGGCAGAGGCGTAGACCATCACCGCCATCAACCTCACCATCACCGTGCTTCGAGACATTACGAAGACGAGGACGAGGAGGATGAAGTCGAGGACGAGGACGAGGACGGGGACGAGTCGCCTGCGGGCAGTCGGCGCGACCTCAGACGCGGCATGAGCCCACGTTCCGTTCGTCACTACAGGTCAACCCCGGAGTCGAGAAAAGACTCTCGGCCTTCCCAACCCGACTCTGACGGGGAGTCTGATACTACCGTGTCGACGGAAGACATAAGGCACCAAGACTTAGAGAAACATGGGCAGCTTCAAAGACGCGCCCGGCACCCTGAACCAGACGACTATCTCGACCACCGTGAAGAGGATCGGCGCTGGAGACGCCGGCAGCGACGTGGTACTGTTGTTTACGATGCCCAAGACGAAGATCCGACCCCCCACCAATCTGCAATAGATCACAAGTCTCCCATCCGCCATCTGTCCCGGCACTCATCCCGGCGATCGACAGACTTGGTTGAGTCTGGTAGCTCCGTCCGACGAGGTTACCACAGTCGTAGCCAGAGCCTCCTCGAGGCCCCTACCCCGCCTCGTTCTTCTGTCAGGTGTGTTTTGCGTTGATACTGATGCTATTGGCCGCGCTAATCAACCAGCAGCCGGCCACGTAGGAGACGCCATTCTCAGGTCATCTACACAGAGATTGTACCACCCACATTGCGCCGGGCGCACACAGCGTCTGAAACGCATGTCACATCGCACAGCACGACGTCCTCCAACCGGCGGCATTCCGTTCTCGGTGCCTTCCTCGGGCCTGGCATGCAGGGGCAAGGGTCAGACAGACGAGTCAAGCAGTAAGCATCGGCACGGTCCGGAGCAGGCTACGGTAGCAGGACTGACCATGTGCAGGGTGCAGTGTCTCGCTTGTATGGACGAGCTCCCAGCAGACAAAATTGCGAAGCTCAAGTGTGGCCATCGTATGTGCAGCTCGTGCCTGAAAAGGAAATTCAAGATGTCCATCAAGGACCCCGTGGAGATGCCGCCGAAATGCTGTGCTGAGCTTATCCCTCTCAAGCATGTCGAGAGGCTGTTGCCGACCGATTTCAAGAAGACGTGGAACAGAAAATTCGTTGAGTTCTCGACACGAAATCGCGTCTACTGCCCGGCGAAACGATGCGGAGAGTGGATCAAGCCAGCAAATATTCACCGTGAGGACGGCCGCAAGTGTGGCAAATGCAGTCGGTGCAAGCTCAAGGTGTGCTGCGCCTGCAATGGCAAATGGCATGGGTCTCGGGAATGCCCAAGGGATGAGGAGACCACAATATTCCTCCAGCAAGCCAAGGACGCAGGGTGGCAGCGATGCCATAGGTGTAAGGCCATAGTCGAGTTGAAGGAGGGATGCAACCACATGACCTGGTGAGTTCCTCGACGGCATTCGATGCAAACGTAGTACTGACTGGAAGCACAGTCGCTGCGGAGCCGAATTTTGCATGATTTGCGGACTGAAGTGGAAATCGTGTGACTGTCCCTGGTTCAATCACGACACGCCGGAGGACGATCGTCTCGAGGATATGCATATTCCCATGTCACTGGGCAGGGACAGGCTTGGGCGGGCAGACGGCAGCCCTCCTGGTCGAGGGACAATTCGCCCTGTGCCCGACCTGACGGCGCCCATGTCGATGAGACCTCGAGTTCCAGATGCCTACGAGGGTCCGCCGCACGATCCCCTCATGAGAAGGCTCCAAGAGAGGCAGGAGAGCAATCTCGCGCGGCGTTTGCACGTTCGTGACGACGATGGCGGTGACATGTCTGCGCACCACAGGGGTGATGATCATCGGAGAAGGCCGCATCTGGTCCCCATCCCAGTCCCGACGCCGCCAGCGGCACCTCCCGTGGGATTCGAAAGACCGGGTGTCGCTGGAGAGTATGTATCGGGCGTCAACAGAGCCCGAGGAGTTCGACAGGACTCGGTGGAACGACGTCTCGCAGATCGTCTATCGGAGTTTCGGACGAGTCCTGGGTCGAGGCCTGGCATGATGATGCCGCCGCCGCCACCAATGCCGGCCAGCGCCGGGCTGCCAATGTCTATGCTCGCCACGCCTGCGGCTCCGACCGCGCGCATGTTGGCCATGGAGGAGGACATGATGTACAACAGTCGCAGTAGGGGAGGCTGGCCCCCAGGATCAGACATTGGCATGATGATGTCGGGCGGCATAGGAGGAGGCTACGCCCCACCGCCCCCAGCGCCCATGCTGCCGCCGCAAGTGCCAGAGGTACATGGCTCGCGGGGGCGAAAGCGTGGGGGGGAGCCCAAGTCGTCGATGATGGCTGGGCTGACCGGTGCGGGACGAGGCATGAACCGCGTGGACGAGTGGCGAAGCCATGTCGAGCCGGGCGTGCCGGGAGACGACAGATCGCTACCCTGATGTAGAGATCACGGAGGCATGGATTTTTACGACAGCACATTTTCCTGACGGACTTTGGACGACAGCGCTTGACGACAGTTCTTAACGGCAGGCATAACTGATGAACAGCATGATACGTAACAGCGCAAAGGATGACCACCTTTTTTCTTCTTTTTTTTTTCCCCCTCGATTCGTTTCTCTACTCGCGTCTGATTTTCTTGCTTTTCTGTTTCGGGGTTTCTCGCTGGTGAGGGTACTGCCATGTTCCTCCCAGGCGGTGTTTTCTGTGTAACTATATGCGAGCCACATGGCAACCGAGGCGGAGCGATGGTGTTGTTTACTTAATCACTGGGCAATTTGGAGTCGGTCTAGCGCGCAGGAATGAAGCGCTCTCTGTTCCTTGAAATGCATTCAACTAGACGTCCCATGTGTGAGCCTGGCTCATGCAGGGTCCCCCATCTGTCCATTTGGAGGGAGAAGGGATCTCTCGTTGCATGGGCGAGTGACCCGATGCTACGGTGGGCATTTGAGGCTGAGCAAGAAACCCGCAACTGTAGACACCCGAACCTCCGGGTATGCTTCGCACAGAGAGTATCGATCCACGTGTGATAGGTCGGCCGGGCATACGCCTTGATACGATGACAAGGTGCCGAGAGATCCGAGGCCTCAAGGAGCAGCTTTGGAATGGGGCGTTTGGTGTGCCCGTTGTCAGAAGAGATTCTGTTGATCGTAGGGCGCCTACCAACCTGGTACGAAAGGTAGGCCAGCCAGCTGGGCTCGTGCCCCCTCTACAGAGAATGAGATCTGGGGGATGGATGGCGAACTCGATGCCTAGAAAGGGCATTTATGCATGGCAACCTGTCGTGACGGGAGGGAGAGAGGTCTTGGGGCAAGCAAAGCTGCAGCGATGTTCCATTGGCGTTCCAGGGAGGTGGGCCAGCTCCAGCGTGCTAGTCAACGGGCTGTACAGGGGACCGAGGCTTGATTCCAGGGCTTTTCCTGGGCAGCTGGCGGTTGTGCCTGCTCATTGCCTGCCTGCCTTCCTGCCTGCCTAGTGGAGGGCTCCCTCCAAGGCAGGTGATGAGTGACGTGTGGAAGGAGGCCCCGGGAGGGAGGGAGGGGCAACTGGTCGCATTGCATCATGGCGCCGCACCATGACCCTCTGGCCTGCGTTAGCCCAGTGCAGAACGACCGAAACCCTCCTTCTGGTTTCGCGAAACCGAATCAGCCAACACTCTCTGCTCTGGCACTTTGTCCGTTATGGCAACCACGCACGCGTTAGCACCAACTGACATATCCTGACCGTCTCAGCATTTTTACCGTCTGGCATTCCTGTGTTCGACCATTTTGTCCAGCTTGTGCTGACTCTACTTCCCCTCCGAGAACCCCGACGTACGACGATTCTCTTGACCGACATGGTGCGATCCGCGAATACCGACACATCCTCCTCCAACGACCACATCCTCGACCGCCACCTCAGCCTGGCCTAACGAGCCTGAGCAACCCGCCCTCCACTCTCACGTTCTCCACTGTTTCGACCATCACCAACTCCGACTACTCTGCGCCAAGTTTGCCATGCTGCTCCTCCATCAGGTCGGCAGCGTCAAGCTCGGCGAGGTTGTCCGCTACACTGTCACATACACCCCTTCTCAGGATCGTATTCTTCCCTCACCGGAGAAGCTCCACGTTCGCATTCGCAACACGTCTGCCATCGCGCTTCGTGCCGCTTTCGTCCATGGGCCCTACAACCTTTGCGTCGCCGCCTACCCTGCTGCCTTCAACCCCAACGTCAAGTTCCAGAACCCCCGCCGCTATGGCGTGCCCGAATTTGAACCCATGGTCAAGGCTGGCGGCTCCTGGCAGTGCGAGTTGGTCGTCCCCGAACATATCCGCCAGAGCGCCGGCACCGGCTCGCATGGCCACTTTGGTGCCGGTCCCGATCACGAGGCCGAGAGCGCGTCTTGGATCATCGAGGTCTCCTCCCAGGTCATCTTTTCCACCTCCGCCTCCGTAGGCTACGAAGTTGTCCTCGCCCGCGACGAGAAGTCCCTGAACCTGAACTCCCTGCCCGTCATCGGCGGCCAGGCCAAGGCACCCCAGCCCGGTAAAGTCAGCGACCTCGTGCATCACGATCACACCAAGAACAGCCACCGCAGCGGCCCCCCCAAGGGCGTCTTCTCCAGGGCTATAACGCTCAAGGTCGAAGACACGGCTACACTCTGGAACACCCCGAGGCTACCGGGTTGGGATAATGGCTCCAAAATCCTCGAGCGCGGCAAGATGCGGGCCCCGAAGGAAGAGGCTGCCGCAGCGGCCGCCGCCGCCAGCAACACCACCACCGCAAATCAGAAGAATACTGCGTCGCGAGTTGCTACCCCCGAATCACCGCACAGCCCATCCTCGAGCGCGAAGCTTCATGAGAAGCCTAAGAAGGTGCACCTTGTGGTGCTCACCCACGGACTGCATAGCAACCTCGGCGCCGACCTGCTGTATCTGAAAGAGAGCATCGACGCCACGGTACGACAGGCCAAAGTCGACGCCAAGGCGAGGCGTGCGAAAGACAGGGAAGCTCGCAGGGCCAAGGCGGCCGCAGCCAAAAGCGGTTCCGCCGAAAACGAGGGCCAGGGTTCCGATGCGCCGGAGACTTGCGCCGGTACAGAACACGACGACGAAGCTGAGGAAGATGAGGAAGACGAAGAGGTCATCGTCCGCGGATTCTCCGGCAATGCGACTCGTACTGAGAGGGGCATCAAGTTCTTGGGAAAGAGACTGGCTAGATACATCCTCTCGACCTGCTATCCTGATCAGCCCTTCCTGCCATCTTTCAAGGGGGCCGCCGAAGTAGCTGCCAACAACATCAAGCCAGATCATGAGGGCAAGACGGCACATAAGCACAGCTCGATTCACAAGGAAGAGATCCCACTCGCAGCACGGCCTTTTAAGATCACCAGCATCAGCTTCATCGGGCACTCCCTCGGTGGCCTCATCCAGACATATGCCGTAGCATACGTTCAGAAGCACTCGCCCCAATTCTTCGACCTCATCAAGCCCATCAACTTTGTCACGCTCGCCACGCCCTTCCTGGGTCTCAGCAACGAAAACCCTCTGTACGTCAAGTTCGCACTCGACTTTGGCCTCGTCGGCAGAACAGGACAAGACCTAGGCCTCACTTGGCGGGCGCCGACCATCGCAAGGAGCGGTTGGGGTGCCATTGTCAGCAATCTCGGCGAGAGCGCGCACAAAAAGGTCATAGGAGAGAGCCGTCCCGAGTCGAAGCCATTGCTGCGCATCCTACCTACAGGCCCCGCCCACACGGCGCTGAAGAAGTTCCGCAACCGGACTGTCTATTCCAATGTGGTCAACGATGGCATCGTACCTCTGAGAACAAGCTGCCTGTTGTTCCTCGACTGGCAAGGTCTAGGACGTGTTGAGAAGGCGCGGCGCGACGCAGGTCTGGTTGAGACGTTGGTGGGCGCCGGCTGGGCTGAGCTTACCGGGGCCAACGTGGGCAGCACGCGCCGCGAGGCGCGGCAGCTGCCTCCTGAAGACAACGACGAGGGATCTGGGACGGCCACCCCCACCGCACCACAGAATGCGGCTGAGGTTCCCCAGCCTGGTCAGAATGCCATCGTCGAAGATGACAACGCTAGCTTGCGATCAGTACCGACGCCTTACCAGGACGATGCCGAGACCACGGCGCCCAAATCTTCCGAATCGTCTAACAATGGCAGTGGTCCCTTTGCTGGCTTCTTCAACTTCTTTAAGAATCATGACCCACCGGCACCGACATCGCCAACGCTCTCTCCAAAACAGAACAAGATTTACAGGCGGAGCCAGACAATCAAGTTTGATGATTCCTCCACAACGTCTCAGTCGTCTGGGGCGTCCAAGGTGACGTCCGGGCAGGAGTTTGAGAACGACACAGATGGGATGAACGCCCCGCCCCGGACCACTTTCTTCGAGTCGGCTCACGACCTTATCAACCCCACGCTGCCATCCACAGAATTTGTGGTCGACCCCTCCAAACGACCTCGCGCCATCTTTCACGACCGCGTTTACCACCCTTCCGATATCCCGCCACCCCCTCTCAAGAAAAAGAATTCGTCGGGTTCTCTCGTCATCCGTAGGCGCAACACGGGCCACTCGACCGCAAGCACCGACACAAAAGACCACGCCCCTTCGGTCGCCTCGTCGCTAGGATCCTCCCCGCGCACTCCCAGCCAAGGCGTAGGCCGCGAGGATTCGCTTCAGTCTACCAAGGACTATGATGACACGACCAACACGAACCCCAATAAAGATGAAGACCAAGAGATCGATGGATCGCAGATGCGTGTTGAAGAGAAGATCGCCCGGGCCTACCACCGCGGCATGGCCTGGCGCAAGGTTCTCGTCAAGCTCGAGCCCGATGCTCATAACAACATTATTGTGCGGCGCATGTTCGCTAATGCCTTTGGGTGGCCCGTTGTCAAGCACCTAGTCGACGCGCACTTTAGCGACTCGGCAACGGTGCGCATGCGTGTTGATGAGGAGGGCGGCGAGGAGCGTGCCTTTGACATGGGACAACCCCCAGACCAATACGGCGGCGAGGTCAAGCGGAGCAATGGAAACGACGGCGCTGGCGGCACAAGCACTCACGAAAAGCCACCGCACGAAGAGACGAGCGCTCAGCGAACAGCGCGGAAAGAACAAGAAGGGTGAGAGGGGGAGAACCTGGCACGCGAGGCTGAAGATAAGGTCACCGCATTGCCTCGCAAGCCGGAGGCTTCGTCGCCTGTCGCATCCACTGCAGAGGAGGCGTATGCTCCAAAGCAGCGAGTGTCCCGAGCCGACTCGATGACGTGGAGCGACGGCGACTGGGCCGATACAGATGGTGATAGCGATGTGGGAACCGAGGCCGGCGGCCGCAGCCCGCGGCCCATGACGCCCGACGGAAAGGGGAAGGATGTGCACGGCAGCTGGAATTGGACGGAGAAGATTGTTGGCAAGGGACCTGCAACCCGCTCGGTCTCAGGGCAGCAGCAGCAGCAGCACCTTCAGCCTTCTGCGCAGCCGCCACCGCTGCATATTCCAGCAGGGGGGAAGCCGGTTGAGGAGATGACGCCGCAGGAGGTGAAGCCACAGGAGGGGAAGCCACAGGAGGGGAAGCCACAGGAGGTGAAGTCGCAAGAGACGAGGTCAGAAGAGGCGAGGTCGCAAGAGTGATCACTTCTTTGGAGTTCGAGCTTCCGCTTCTTCAAGCAATAGCATGGCGTGGGGAGGGGATTTTTAAATACGGGCATTAGAGGGCTTCAGTCTTTACGGTACATAGTGAGGCTATGAGGCACGAGTTTGATGATAATTACACGATTCGACATGCACGTTTTCTGCACTCAGGGTGAGGATGAGATCGATTGCCGTGTTTCGTAGTAAAGGCAACCAACGTCCCAGGTCGCCTTGACATATCGAACCAGACCGAAGAGTCACGGACACACAAAAGCAGTGTGGCAGACACACGGCGGCGGCAACACGTCTGTCGACTGCTCATCAACGCGCAAACGTGTTGTGCGAGTAAAGCACTAGGGAGAAGCAGGGAAGGTCAGGGGGGAGGCAAAGAGACACACCAACGGGCTCCGACCAACCATCACGGCGGTTCATCGAAGGGGGTCATTCATCATGAACTGAGTCTCATTCCAAAACTACCAAGTCCCAAATGCCGAAGAGAGTCGTCGTCCTTCATCGTGTCGTGACGGCACACGTTCGTCACGGCCGCGCCCGTCGCGCGGGATCCGTTTTGTGGTACTCATACAACTCCACACCTTTGCTGCTTTTCCTCGTGCACTCGCTCGATGCATGCGTATTCTTCGTCTTCTTCCCTGTTTCTAGCTCATCTTTGTCGCTTGCCGTGGTCGTTGTTCGTCGTCGTCGTCGCCGCCGAAACCACTCGCTGTCACTGCCACCACTGCTACCACGCCAACCACGCCAACCACGCCAACCACTACCGCAGCCTCGTTGGCTTCTCCCGATTACGTCGCCTTCTTGGCAAACTCGACCCTCAGGATCAAGTGCTTGAAACCGAAACCGTCCATCTTGGCACAAGCCTTGACGGCGTCGGACCTGTCGACGAAGCTGATGAAGGCGAAACCCTTGGCCATACCCGTCTCCCGGTCCTTGGCCAGGAAGACGCGCGTGACGCGGCCGAAGCGCTCGAACATGTCGCGCAGCTCCTGCTCCTCGGCCATTTCGGAAACCTGAATCAAAGGGGATCTCGTCAGCGGATGCAACGTTTAAGAAAAAGAAAAAAGAATTGGACACGGCCGCAGCGACGGAAGCTCGCGCTCCATTCCGTGGCACTGTGAAGAAGATGATCATCGTAGTACTCACGTTCGTGACGCGCAGCGTGGCCAGGTCGTCGCGCTCGCCAAACTTGCCGCCCATCCTCTCGCCAGCGCCGGCAGCACCACCGGGCCCGCCACGCAGCGCGGGCGGGACGTAGCTCCCCTTCTTGACACCGCCAGCTCCACCGGCAGCGGCACCACCGACATCATCGGGCATGCCGGCGGCGACGTCGGCAGCGGCCGAGTCGCCGACGGGGGCCATGGTGTCCTTGTACGGACAGCGGGCAGTGAAATGCTCTCCGTTACAGATACGGCACTTGACCTGCTTGTCCTTGAGCTTGTCCTTCATGGCCTGGGCGTTGGGGTCCTTGGCTTCCTCCTTGGCGTCCTTGCGCCAGTTGGTGCTGGGGCGGAAGATGATGTTCTCGCCCACCGTCGTCGTGTCAAAGGCCGGGCCGGCGGGGTCCTTGGCGCTGAGGCCAAACTTGGACCAGCCCTTGCGCTCGGCGACGCGGGGGTTGACCTTTTCCGTGTGCGTCGTGTAGCGGATGCGGCGCGTTGTCTTGACCTTTTGGTTCTGTTCGTTCAGGCGGAACGTGATGATCGTCTTGGTGCCGTCCTTGTTGGTGATGGTCTGCGTGGGCGGGAGCTCGGTCGAGACCTCGTCGACATCCTCATCGTCGGCCCAGTCGTGCCTGTAGGAGAGGGGTTCCAGACGTTAGTCAAAGGGTCTTCTTTCTCCTTTCATTCGTTCTTCATTTCCTCCCCCTAACTTCACTTCCTTTCCTTCCTTTGATGCATTTCCCCCCCTCTCGCGAGCCATCGTGGCGATGAGGCGGGGAGGAGGGGAGGCAGAGGGGAGAGTGGCTCACTTCTTCGCTGGGGTCGCCATGTTGGGTGGTCTTATCTTCTCGCTGGTGCGGTGGATGTTTTTGGTCGGCTGGATTCGGTATGCCTGGCGTGTAAAGGGCTTTCTCGAGGGAAACGCGCGATCGTCGCAAAGGGTCGTCGTTCCTAGGCGGGCAGGCAGGCTCGTTGAAGATGGCAAGTCTCGGTGGGGTCTTGCCAACGTCGAATTTTGACCTCGATTCAATTTCGTGGTGCGCCCCCGGAAGCTGGGTGGGGCATTTCACACTAGCCCCTGACAGGCTAGCATCGGACTGGCTGTCCCACGCACCAGCCTCACTACGAGCACCTTCTATCAGTGCCGGTCATGTGCTTTGTAAGTACCTACCTCCTCATCACTCCATGAATCTGGCATCACACGCTTCAATCCAGGCGAAATACCACCACCAGCAGGCAGGCACACTTAACCGTGTTCATCCGTTGTATTGGGCCAGGGTATCTGGCTTCCTCAAGCCGCGCCAATCAACCAAAGTGATATACAAGAAGCAGTTCGTACAGCCATCATCGTCTCTATGTCCTCGGCCCCTCCTTCACCTGCCCCCAATTGTACAATCGCCGCATCAGAAGCTCGCTCCTTTCATTCCTCTCTCCCCTTCCACAATGCTACCTTGGCCGCCCAATGCTGTTCTAGATTTCGATCCCAAAGCCAAGACCCTGCCGTTTCGTTTTGTTTTCAAACGCCGTCGAGGGAGCTTGCCGCCTCCCGAGTGACTCAAATGAAATTGTAGGTGCCGCAAGGCAGGTAGGTAGTTGACAAAAGAAAATTTCGGTACATGTGTGCATGAACATACACTTCTACACATGTATGTGTCTGTGTGTGCATCTATTTGCGTGTGGTGGCGGTGCTCCTCATGAAGCAACACGCACCTTCTGAGGGATGGGTGGCAGCGCACAGGTCGGCGGCGGCGCTGGGATCGGAGGCAGAGCCCGCGTTGGGGGAGGCGCAGGCGGAGGGCCTTCAGCAAGCTGCGGCAGGCTTCGTCGGCCTGGCAGAGCTTTCGAATAGCCTCCAGTGTCGGATCCCGCGCGTCTCCTGCCAGGGACTGGGGCAGGCTGCGTCGGCATCGGTCGGGAGGACCAAAGTGCGACACGCGATGGTGCACCAGGGGCAAACGAATCAACCTTGATTTTCAGGTCCGACATGTGGCCGATGGAGTAGCGTGCTGGGCGTTCGTAGGAGGATCGATCTGGGGCCTCCAGGTAAACGCTTGCCGTTCTCCTGCTCCGCTGCTGGGGGGTGGACAGTAGATGAGCATGATCCTTCCCCGACACTTCAGACAACGCCTCCAAAGATTTAGCAACCTCGGAGATCCGCGGGACTGGAGGTGGCGGCGATGACTTGGTCATGTGTGCAACGCTTGAGGCTGCTGAGTCCCCGGAGCTGCGGAGCGAGTGCATGCTCGCATATTTTCTGGGGCTGACACGAGCAGGTGCTGTCGTTTCTGTGTTTTCCGAATTAAAGCTGGCTCTGCGGGTTTGGAACGTCGGCGATTTCAACCGTCCACTGCTAGAGCCACTCGACTTGGTTGACGCGTAACTTGGAGACTGGGGGCCTTCCTTGGCGCTTCTCCCACCAAAAACACCAGTCGCCTCGACGTCGTCCTGCACTGGTGATGGGTGATCAGTGACTATCGACAGCGGCCTTGCCATGGACAGTGCCGTCGGTGGAGCTCTTCGTTGTGGCCGCATAAAAGTCTCGCGAGGTCTTGTTGTCTCGCCAGCATGCGCAATCGAGTCGACTGAAGCCGACTTGACGAGCGAGTAGCGTTTACAGATTGGGACACTGAAGTTCGGAGTGGGTGCTGGCTTAGGCGCTTCGGGAGCTACCCCCGAGTATTGTGCATCACCACTTGGATGGACAACGCCAAAGTTCATAGTCTGCATCGACTGCCTCCGATCCATGATCGCTGCGGCATTCGGCCGGGGTCTCAACTGCAGAGGCATATCCTGCCAAGATGGCTCTTCCGGTGAGTTGAAGGCGTCCCGTGTCGGAGAGCAAGCTGGCGAAGAGTTGGAAGACGTGACGATGGTTCGTTGGCCGGAGGAGATGTACGATAGGCGGTTGGCGCTGTCTCGCAGACTATCGAGTTGACGCCCTTCATTGGACGTCACACTGTTGGTTGTCGATACGTCGTCGATCGAGGGATCCATAATGGCGTCGGACTCTGCGATAACCGTGGAGCTGTCCACGTCACTGCGACTCTTGTTCGCATGCCACGAGAATTCTGGTGGCACAACGCGCGAGAAGCGTGATGGGTCTCTGACGACGAGCGTCCGTTGGCTTGACTGCGATTTGAGCTGTACAAAGCTCCCGTCCATCCTCGGACGGCCCGTCTCTGTCGTATTTTTCTTTCCGCCGAGGGCCTCAATTTCCCTTCGCAGAATTGCGATCCAGGACTCCATGTCTTCGGCACCCTCAAAAACCATGAGGTAATTGGATGCGCTACGCTTCTCCGTCACCCGGAAAGGCAGCCTTGAAAAGAGAGACCGAGAATCAGTCGATGTCATGCCATCAGCATCCATGGCAGAGGACACCTGAAGCACCCAGTGGCGGCCGGGCAGGGCGTCACTGACAAAAGCCGCCGAGTCTTTGCTGAGTTGAAGCATCTTTTCTGGCAGGCGATCGAAGTGGCCTTCTCCGGAGTACTGAAGAAGATAACCCGACGTGCACAAGACGTAGATTTTGGTGGTCCATTCCTGCTTGCTCGCAGATCCAGAGGGTTCTCGTCGGTGCTTCTTTGCCTTCTCACCGGTTGGGTCGTCATCGGGTGACAACTGCGTTAGATCCTCACGAATAGTGAGGCTGCCTTTCCGTTCATTGTGTCGGAGAATGGTGTCTGCCGAAAGGATAGGGGCAGGCAGATGAGCATATTTGATCGCCTGCGGGTACGCCTGGAAGAGAGGTGGAGGGTCCCAAGTCGCAAGATGGCCTCGAGGCGATTTATAGGGCGCTGGTTGCGTCTTTGGTTTGGCGGCCGATGC